GAGTTGAAGCAGGAGGGTCACGGTGACGAGCTGGGTGAGGAGAGCCTCGTGCGCGGGGTTGCTAAGCGGTGATCGGCTGCGAGGCCGCCGCGTAGACGAAGCAGCAGCTGAGAAAGGACTGCCGCCAGGGCGTCTGCTTCTTGCCATCGACGTAGAACTCGTCGACCTTGATCTGGCCGTCCTTTCGCCACTCCTTGCATTCGCCGTGCTTGACGCCGTTCTTGAAGTTCATCAGAAGGTAGAGCCTGCCATTGCCCCACCAGTGCCTGCACATGCCGTGTCTCTCTCCGTTCCTGTGTAGTGGGGGTTGATGGGTGAGCCACTCACGACGCGCACACACCGCACACACACGAGTTGTGCAGTGGTTACCTGAAGTAGGCGTGCGACATGAGCTGCGAGTTCTTCCTCCAGGCGCGATACTCGCCGTCTCGCTTGCCGTCCTTGTAGCAGCCGTGGCTCTTGAGCTCGCCCTTCTCGTTCCAGGACTTGGCCTCGCCGTGGAGTTCGCCGTCCTTGTAGAACCTGTGGTTCCACAAGACGCCGTTCTCGAACCACTGCTTCCACTCGCCGTCGAGGATGCCGCCCTTGTAGTGGCACAGCAGCTTCGGGCTTCCGTCCTCGTACCACTGCTTGCAGGGACCCTCCTTCGCACCGTCCTCGTCGTAGCGCTCGTACCAGGAGACTTGGCCGTTGGGGTGCCACTCCTTGTACTCGCGGAAGTACTTCTTCTGGCGCCATGACTTCATGTGCTTCTGGAGGCACTCGAGGACTTCGGCGGGCAGGAGCTTCGTGCTCTCTTCGTTGTAGTTCCAGGCCACGACAGTTGCGCTCAGATCGACGAGAGATTTGACGCCCTTTGGAACTGCAGATGAAGCAGACGTGGCGACCGTGGCGGTCTCGCTCTCCTTGTACTCAGCCATCTTCCTCTCCAAGACCTGTTAACAACGTAAACGACCCGTTAGGACCACTTCCATCCACACCGGTTCCCAATCGTTGTGCAATCATTCAGCAATTCCGAGATTGAGCGCGACATTTCCTACCTTGCTCCTGGCCGCTCCAATCTTTTCTGTTCGATTCGAATCTGCTGTCCTCCTCTCGCAATAAAGGGCCCGTCGCGTCTTCGCCTTGCGCACTTGCTTGTGTACTGTATCCTGGACGTATGTGAACTGTCTTCCTCAAGCCTTTCTCCTCCTCGTCTCTCGGCGTCTGCGGCTGGTTTCGCGCGGGTCGTTTCTTGCCTTTGCCCGTACTTGACCTGCGAATTTACGCTACTCGCGCCCGTGGTAACGCGGAATTTCGACCTCTCGCCCAATCATGGCGTGTTTTCTGCGCGGGTTACCTAGTTTTTTTAATATTTTTTTCGCTTTTTTATTCCACTGGCGCGAGTGGTTGCCGGCGCACCATCGCTTGGTCACACAACCGCGCGAACTGGCGGTCGCGAGGCTACTGATGTTGTGCCCGGGCCACACGCACACCACACGCACCCGGGTCAAGCGGAACTCCAGCATGGCAGGCTCTGTAGATACTTGTGCAGCTCCGACGTGAACAGTTCGCACTCCTTGAGTGACTCCTCGAAGGCGGACGTTTCAGAGTTTCTGCAGCGCACGGCGTGAGGAGAAGAGTCGGGCATCAAACGCGGTTCGGCGGGGATCAGAGAGCAGCATGAAGCAGTGAGGGAGTGTACGTACCTGATCTTGAACAAGGGGTTCTTGATCACGTACTCGACGAAAATGGTGGAGTATATCTTGCGCAGCTCTTCCTTGAGGTCTCCCACCGATGGGTCGGTCACAAGGATGAACCTCTTGCCCTGCAGCCCGTGCCAGGGCGAGGAAGTGAAAACACGGAGAGTGAGTGCGTGTGTGCGTGTGTGCTGCAGCTTGCTGCGGTTAATCGTGTGTGCAAGCAGCAAATAGGGCGCCAGGGGCACGACGCGCACGCTCAAGAGGCAGGGAGTATCCATCAGGGGACAGGGAGTACCGAGGCCGTCTCGAAGCAGTGCATCTTGTACACGTTGGTTGTGTAGGCAAAGTACTCGGGAGTCTTGCTGCACGGAGGCAAGTATGCCGGTCAGCACGTCTGCACAGCGAGAGCTTGCAGCGCCCCTGCTCCTCCAAGCCATGACAAAGGCCTCGCAAGCCATGAGGGGGGGGTCGGGAGCGCGTACCCCGTTGGCGAAGTCTTGATGATAAATCGCTTCATCTCGAAGACGAGACCGTACATGTTGGTCTTCATCTCGACCATGTTTACCTTTCGTGTCCGATTCCACTCCTCGAAGAACACGCACGATCCATAGCGATTAAACAGCATAAAGCTGAAGATCATCTTGATTGCTCTGTACAGAAAAATAAATCAAAAGAATTGGGGCTGGTTTCGTTTTTGATTTGCTTTTGTATTTTCATTGTGTGCGTTCAAGCAGGCCTCTACTGGCCCGCGGCCTTCTTCTCGGCCTTCTCCTTGCCCTTGACAGCCTCCTCGTGCTTCTTGGGAGCCTCCTTGACGAAGGGAATGAACTCGAGGCCGCCGAGGTAGGGCTGCAGCACCTTGGGCACCGCCACGCCCTCGGGAGTCTGATAGTTCTCCAGGATGCAGCAAATCGTACGGGTGGTGGCGCACAGCGTGGCGTTCAGCATGTGCACGTACTTCTTCTCACTGCACGCATATATGATGAACACCAAGGCACAAGCGTGAGATGGACCGGGGTGAACGACGAACCGGCGCATCATGGCACCACACAAAGAGGACGAGTAAAATGAAGATAGTAGGGGAAGCGATGCATACCCTCCCTGCTTCCGGCTGCCACACCTGACCTCCAGGCTCCTCGACTGGTAGTCGGTACAGTTGGACGCCGAGACAAGCTCGCGGAACTCGCCGAAGGCGGGGAACCAGGCCTCGAGATCAAGCTTCTTAGCGGCAGCGTTGTTAAGCTCGCCCGAAACGATGGCCACGACGTGATAGGGAAGCTCGAGCTGCAGTGAGCGCAAGCGAAAGGGAAAGGGTGAGCAAAACTCGCGTACACACGCTTGGCAAGGACTAAACGTAAAAAAGAGTAAATAAATTGAATAAATATAGTAAAAAAACAAACAAAAAGGCGAATCGAGATGAAATTGGACGAAGGGCGTCTCACGTACCGACTGGTAGAAGGCCTCGGCGGTCTTTACCATGTTCTCGTGCTCCTCCCACGACTTCTCCGGCTCGGTGAGGCAGAATTGCTCGATCTTCTCGAATTGATGGACGCGGAAGATGCCCCAGGTGTCCTTGCCGTGAGCGCCAGCCTCCTTCCTGAAGCACGACGACGTGCCGGCATACCGGATGGGCAGATCCTTGGGCTCGAGCCACTCCTCGGCGTGGAAGGCCGAGATGGGCTGCTCGGAGGTGGCGATGAGGTACTTCTCATCGCCCTTCTCGCCGATGACGGTGTAGAGGGCCTCGTCGAATTCCTCGAGCTGGGCAGTGCGGGCCATGACCTCCTTGTTCATGAAGAAAGGGGTCGCGAGCGCAGTGTAGCCCTTCTTCATCAGGAAGTCGGTGCCGTAGGCGATGAGGGCCTGATTGAGTCGCACGCCGACGCCCTTGAGGAAGTAGGCGCGGTGGCCGGCCACCTTCACGCCCCTGTCGGGCTCATAGCCGTCGATCATCCACAGCAGCTCGTGATGGTGGCGCCTGGCCGCCTCGTTGAACTTGAACTCGCCCCATTCCGTCACGACGGCGTTGTGGGTCTCATCCTTGCTCACGGGCACGCTCTCGTGGACGAGATTGCCGATGAGGTTGAGCTTCTTGTCGAGCTGCTCCTTGATGACCTTGCAGGCGTTCTCGGTGTCCTCCTCCGCCTTCTTGAGGTCGGCCATCTTGGGCTTCATCGCGTCGGCCTCCTCGGTCTTCTTGGCCTTGTAGAGGGCGCCGATCTCCTTCGACAGGTTCCTCTGTGCCTTCTTCACCTCGTCCACTTGGAACTGCAGCTTCCTCCATTCCTCATCGAGCGCGATGATTTCATCGACGATCTCTACCGGCTTGAACCTCCTCCTCTGCGATTCCTTGATCAGCTCGGGGTTGCCTCCCTTTTCCTTCCTGAACAGATTAATGTCGAGCACCATCTTCTGTGTGAGTGATAGAGTGAAGAAATGAGGGGTCGAGAGAGATGCTGCGATCGCAGAGAGATGGAACAACAGACAACAAAAGAATGAAAAAATGGAAACAAAACACAAGAAAGTCGTTCTTGCCGAACTGGGAAAAAGCTGAGAACGAAAGGCACGAACAACGCAGCCGTTGGGCCAACAAGGGTGTGACTTTACTTCGCCGGGATGGAGCCCAACTCGATGAGCTGGCCTACCACCTCCACGGGTTTGGGACACATCATCTTCTCCATCGTCACCATCTTGGGCTGCACGAACGAGGGGCCAAAGATGATGCCTGTGTGTGTGAAGCAAGTCAATCAGGCAGGGGTGAGTACGGCGAATGGGTGCGTGTTGATTATGTGGGTGAGCGGTAACTTACCTAGGTTGGCACTGGTCATCATATTGACATCCGCGTGCATCGACACCTTCTTCAAGAATACAAGCATGTAGTTTAGGAAGATCCTATTGGGCTCGGGCAGGCCCTGAGCTAGCAAAGCCAACACTGCGTCACTTCGCCCACTTGGCAGGTCTGAACAAGATAGGATTGTTTGTCAGCACCATCACAACAACAGCACCCAGAAGGAGTGTAGTACCCATGCAGTCCATCAGCGGATCATACAACGAGAAAGGCACTGGCGGTTCGGGCAGTGATCGGATGTACTCCTTAAGAAGGCACGCTACGACATGAACGTCGACGTTCTCCTTCTTGAAGTCGACAAACCCTGCGAGTTGATGTGTGCGTAGGTCCACGTGAGTCTACATTGTCATTGCATTGAACGGCCAAGCTGTTCGTACCATCATGAGCGCTCAGCGCATCTTTCCACTTGTTGATGTCGAGCTGATTGCCCGAAAGTCGAAACAGACCGTGTGTGTCCAATGCTGCGGAGCGGCAACAGACAAGACGCGTTTGTGAGTTGGCCGCAGTCTAAAGGTGATCAGTGAACGGTAGCAGCTTGCCTCCTTCCAAGTAATTGACGCAAGACGTGACCACCGCGGGAAGCTCCCACGGTTGTTCTCCTGTGAGAAAGATCTCGCTACCGAAGACGCTTCCCTTCTTCTCTGCAATCGTTCAATACAGAAGCGGACGTGAGTACACCCGCGAGGACGGATCCGCGGGGGTTAGGGTGCTCGCACCTTCTTTCTTCCTGAAAATGACCGACCCCTTGAGGAAGTTGGAGAGCACTTGCGCCTTCTTGGTCTTCTCGAGCTTCTTCTGTGCTTCAACGACCTGCGGGCTGCAGTTCGTTCCCACGGCCGCTGCGAACACGACGCTTTACCATCAGCAAGCAGTGTCATGGCCGGGAGGAGACGTGGAAAGCAGAGCGAGCACAACGACCAACGTACTCCCTGCAGGCAGGATGTTTCTGTTCTCGAGGTCCTTACGGATGGGCCTTCGCAACGTGAGGAAAGACTCCAGCCGCTCGCTGGTCATCCTGCGCCTCGACAAAATGGAACTGCCTTGCTCTACCACACAAAAATAAAATAAATAAAATAATTATTAATAAAATAAAATGCAAATCAAAAAGAGCGAGAGAAGGGATTAACTAATAACAAATAACAATAATAAACAATGAAAATGCCAAGTGCGGGTTGCAACATACCGGGTTCGGTTTCGTCGACCGGTTGAATGCCGCCCCCTTGTGCGAGTGGGGGGCCGACGGCTTCAACATGGTCGTGTGGAAACCAACCCCTTACGCCGTTGAGCTCGCCCTCCAGCCACCCAAAGGACTCGTCCAGCTGTAGGAGCTCGTCGCCCTCCTGAAAGCTGAGCTCGGTTTCGTGCTGCGCCGTATAGCTCTTGATGGCCCGCACATGGCGCGGGGCCACCTTCTCCTTCTTGCTGAACATGGTGCTGAGCCTTCTGGGTCGGCTTCGTGCAACCCACGGCCTCGCACCGACAGAGCCGGCGGGGCAACCACCGGCCACTGTGGCGTCGCCTTGTCTCATTCTTGCGAGGTCGCGGTCGACGTGCTGTTTCACCTTCATGAAATAGTTGACGTTTTTAATCTATTTTAAGAAAAGTAAAGAAATCGAAAGTAAATC